TTAAAATACATGTATTTCAGGTTTTCGGAAAATCACATTTCTGCAAATATCAACTTCAGCAATAAGATATTTGGTGTGTGCTACTTATATCAACAGACATAAGTAGTATGTAACACCAATAAAAAGCTGAATGGCTGGCAGCAGAAGGCTAAGAAGATCAAATTGAAGTAAACAGGAATGATCTGTGAATTGGAAGAATTATACAGAATGATTGACAATTGATGGAAGATTTGCAAATGAAGCATTAAATAGATGGTTCTCATATTTTATGGAGATAATTTGTAATTTTGTGTGGAATAGTAAATTAGTTTCCCCCACCTGAGTTCTTGTTCATATTCTTGTACTTAGAGCAAGGATGGGGAGTAATTACTTATACTTTATTACTCCAAACAAATGATTATCAATCATATAGTCAGTCATCATCGACGTTGAAACTAATACGAATATTTTTAAGTATAAGTTGCCATACTTCACATCAACAAGATAAGAAGAAATGAACAAAACCGAAAGAAATATCAAAAACATCGGAAACCTAAATATCGGAAGTACAGTACTTAAGGAACAGATAAGATCGAAGAACGGAACTTGTGAGACTATATTGAACCAAAGATTTATAGGAAAATAAGAAGTGAATGCGGGGGCAACATTATGACAGATTTGGGACCACATCATAGAATATATTAAATGTCGTTTACTAGTACTGTGTGAATCTTATTCAGGAAGTCCATAGATTCTTCTTATTCTGGAAATGTTGTTACCTATATTCTATTCAACGCTCCTATTATGTCCGAAATAAATATATTTTTTATTTTATTATCTCTCCTAGTTTACAGTTTATAACTTTAAAGATATAAGTCATTAGTGAATCCTGTTTGATCTTTTACTAAACATATCTTTAAATAGTAGATATATAACTTAAGTTTTGTATTGCAGTCAGTAAATTCTACGGTATAAATAACATTTAGTCATAGTTTAGAATGCCTACACCTGTCTAGTCGTTTGTCGAATTTCTAATAAAAACATAATTGACTTTATTATGGCTCCTTAATTAATAAGCTACGATTATTCATAAAAATAGTAGCGTTCAGTATTTATTTTTGTCTAGTTAACCCTAATTTTTCTATTTATAATTAAAAACAAATAATTATTGGCTTCGTTTCACATATCGCCTAAATGAAAAACAAATGGTTCATCACAATATTGTTAATCTGAATAGTTTGACTCACTGAACGGTTAATCTGTTTCCAACAATAAGATTGTGTTTTTTTTGTTAAACTTAATGTAAATACTTTAAGAAATGTTGATTTCGAATTTTAAATGTTTATTTCCTACGATTAAAAATGTTTTGTTTTAGTATCTTCCATTAAAATACAATAACTTAGAATGGAGGATTATTTCCATAAAATTCAATTCCATTCACCGTGAAAATTAAAATATGTAACACATTATGTGAAATGCTTAACATAGTAAATGAAAGTATAAAAAAGAATTTAGGTCGTTTTGAAGAGTTTGGTTAATAAATCTATTTATATTTTTAAGATGAAGTTAACTGTATGTGAATGATTTAGATTCGAAGTTGACAAATATACCAAGGATATTATTATTGCAAGGAAAAATCGAATCTCGAACATCCTTAGGAAACTTCTAAAAACGAAAATTCTTGGTACTTGGTACTTACTATGACCTATTGGCTTGAGAATCTTATCTTCTTTATATTTTAAGTCTACAAAAGATGTACAAAAATGAAGTATCACCCAGCTTTGTTTTATCAATGATTAATTCACCATAACATAAAGTTTTGTTGTAGCTAGCGGAGAAGTTTGAACCACTTTATTGAGGACAAATTATCTATATATTGAAAGATTTATTCCGGTTTAGTGACAGACTGGGTAGGATAAATATGGTTGGTTTCTTTTGATTTAACATACTTCTTTATAAAATTAACTCTTTTTAAAGTCATAGATACAGTTTGCCAGCATCTTGGCATCCAGTCTATAGTAGTGCTGAACTCTAAACAACTATTGCTTATACTCGTGAAGGATGTTCATTTTCAACTTAATAGTATCATATACATCAAACCGGTGGTATGGCAAATTGAAAGTTCATTCAGTCATATTCCTGCAGGTTGTTTTTAAACATAATCTTAAAAAGCCTGGCTCAAAGGAATAATTAATGAAATGGCATAGTATTTGCAGTATGTCGACAACACAATTTTCAAATGTAAAAACCAATAACATGTAACCCACCCGATGAAGCTTTTTCATAAGGTGCTTGGAGATATTCAATTTACTACTTAACACTTTCTTAATATTGTACTGCAACAGAGCAGATGGCACGATTCGACATTCAGTTCGCCGAAAACATACATGAAATAAAATGTAACTGAATTTTAGTGACTTTTATTCAGTCAGTTACTAAAAGACACAGGTCAAGACACTAGTTCACGGAACATAAAGGATATACGTTGCCAGCAAACTGCAAAAAGAAGTAATGACAATTAAAAGTGTCTAGTAAACAGGAGATAATCATATAAATCAACTAGCGAAATGCGGAAAAATTTGAGATCAAAAACCTACAGAAACTTCATTAAGCGCAAAGTTTATTTTTGTCTAACTAAACTGAAAAGGGAATTCTGGTGCATAAAGAATCAGCAGATAAATCAAAACTATATTAAACACGGTCTGTTTTAGAGACAAAGAGATAATCTTGCATAAAGCAAGATTTTGTTCAACGAAATAAAAGATAGATACTTCATTCATGTCATTGTCAACTGCATGTATTGCTCTGTATGTATTTGGAAACGTATTGAAAAATAAGCTTAAGTTCAATTTCATGAACACATTCCAGTAGAGTTTCAATCAAGTGGGATAAAATTTACTCTAGTACCATCCCAGTCAAATAATTTGGTTCACTGGAATGAAGCGTTTAAGAGAATAATATCGTTTTTAGTTAGATCCTAATCAAACTCTTTCCTAATATATACTTATATTTACGTGGATATACAGGATATATTGAACCAGTTCTTTTGCCTTACTCTAAAGGTTTGGTGAGTTTCTACCAGAGTATGATAATAAGACTCAGCACAGTGCTTGTTTTTCAATGTTAGGCTTTTTAAAAACATTGTTATTACACATGTTAACTCATCATTCAGGTGCAAACTCGTAATCTTAAGAAGTCTAGTAATTTAATTATTCACGCTGTACTGGAGGTTTTTCGGTCAATTTTAGTAGGCTATTCTCATATTTAAGACGATAATTTACCAGTTCATTCATCTCTTGAGCAACACAAGTTAGTTTAGAAGTAGTGTGGTAATACCTTCGTGGTATTGAAGTCATTTATTGAATCAACAAAAGCCCATGTATTCGGCCGCCTCAATTAACATAAAGTGTACTTTACAAGAAGTGTCTCAGTTGAAATTAAGGAGGAAAGAGAAAATCAAAAAGACAAAAATTGCTAAGATAATCAATAACAAGTCTGAAAAATAAATCTCAAGGAAAATTCATAAGATATCCATATTTCAGAGTAAAATAAGGGATAAATGTAGTTAAACTAACGTAATAGAGTTCGAAACCCAACTTGTTGTTACAAATCAATAACTCCTGGCATCTTATAGACTTCTACGGATATCTACTACCCCTTAATCATTTTGGAAATATTCGCAATCGCACTTATCTCTGCTCTAGACGGACGTCTGTATATTTGTGCTTACAATATATATTTCTGCCACCTAATTTATCAAACATAAGATCAACTGCTCAATAACCGCGCTATAAAATCATAAGTTAAAGCACCAATCATTGCTTTTAGTCCGAAAAATGAGTCTAAAGACATATCAGATGAGAAAATGTTGGGTTTAAAAAGTTTTGTTAGCAAAAATTGCAATAATGTCGATCATAATTCACAAGTAAAAATGTCAGTGAAAACTCTAGCTACATGGCTTTACTTCAAAAATTAGATGTTGACAAAAATAATTACGAGTATACCCTAATGAAAACATCATCTGACGAGCCTGAAGTAAGACAAAATGTTTGTTCACTGCTATCCACTATCCAACTCTACCTTAAAATGCGTCGAGATAAGTCAGATGAGTTGTAAAACAGATATGTTTTCAATGTACGCCACTGGTAGATAATATTTGTTTTTCTACTTTGGATTTACTGGCGTAGTAACTGGGAAAAGAGAACCGAATGAATTCTCACTGTTAAAAAGCGAACCGACTTCTCGTAATAGACAGTGAAAAATAACATAAGGATAAAAAAACTTAGTCGTTTCTGTATAAACGGCCAGACCTTGATAATACCCGCCCTAAATTACCGATACACAGTTATTGGAGGCTTAAATGAAGATTTTTCTTTTGTAACCAAAAGCTTTGAGGAGAATGAACCTAGTTTACAGTATATAACTTGGCGTATTGGCCTCGGAAAACGTTTGTTCATTTGAAATGTTTCAGAAGTCATGAGTTTGTCTGTGATAAGAAAACCAGACTAATAGCTCTTTTACCTCACAGTGATTCACATGTTGTCGTATGTAAACAAATAATCAATCATTAATTGAAAAACAAAATGGAGTTGACACCTAGAGAATTTTTATCTATTGCCGGTGTGATTTGCCCAAAACAAGAACCCGAATGATGTTTTTAAGACGATTGATCAGATATTTTACTCAATAAAGTCATAATTCTATTCAACCAGTAGACGAGTAGTGTACATATTCACTATTAGAAATAATAATTACAAATCTTCACTTTTAAAGTCAACCACTACGTAAATCATGCCTATATATTCTCGTTTTTTTAAAAGCTTACCACAAAATACTGTCTTTGTTTAGTGAGGTTTAGATACATCATTATGTTACTTATAAGAGAACAACATAACATTGTGATTTGGAGCCAAATACACAGAACTATGACTGAAGAACGAATAAGTTCAGTACAGTTAACAAAAGAAATGCTTAAATTCGTCTAAGATTAAGATTAAATAAGATAAAATGCCTGTACTCACCCAAGACATCAATATTAATAGCTTTTTGGGATTTTGGCCCGTGAGCACAAGACCAGTTACCCCTGTCCTCGAATTTAACGTTCGGTATGTAAATTTCATATACATCGTTAAGTCTATTGCATATATAACGATGATTTTCTATATAAAATCGGCAGTTTTCTGCTATATCAATGCCGTTATGACTCCAAATAATTGGAAATATTTGGTTTTCAGAGGAACAAGATAATTTGAGATAAGATCCGGACAGGGTGACATTTGATGGCAGCGCAAAAAACGTTATTGTTCGATATAATGGTAGGAAAGTAACACATAGTAATACAGAAGGGAAAAGCGTAAACATATTCAGGATTTGAAAACCCGCGAAATTGTTCTATTGTATAGTAAGAGGGTTTAGTATCCAATATTTTTGGTAAGTGACCTGTGTAAAGTACACGACTTATTTACTCTGCTATACTGATTTTGAGGTACGCTTAACGTCTTTCATTACGTCAAATAAAGTTATTGTAGTCGCTTGAATATCCCAAATATAAGTTTTACTTTAGGTGATGTTTTAAACTCGTTTGAATGTACTTATTTCATGATAATGATCTGATGGAACTAATATCTACCAATTTGAGAAACAGTAGTTGTAGCATGAGAACAAAAAGTGGCGAAGTGAAGTGGGTCGATCGATGTAAACAACTTGACTGATTAAACAAACAGACAAAAAGATGAAAAAAGACGAAGAGGAGCGGCATAAATAAGTTCCAAAAGATTTACATCTCTTCTAAAAAGAAAGTGTGAGACAATCTCGTGAGCTCTCAGATGGCTATAGGCCTTAAATATTGTTGAAAAAGCTCACAACGTAACATGAGTGGCTGTCTTTGGACGAAGTGGAGAATTATATATGCTTTGACTTGATCTCCCTGTTAGCTGGTATCCGAACATTCTGGTAGCAAAATACTGGGTGTAACTCCTCCAGAGATCTAAAAAGACGATGATATCAAATTAAGCGATCTTCTCTCTGTAGTCCATTATGGGATCGTTTGCTATATCTACAGGTTGAAGTGGTTCAGTGTTCCTTTGATACTCATGTGAATCGCCTTCACGTTTTACACCCTTTTGCTGCTCTATTTTGACTGCATGACTGATAACTGATGAAAAGAGGTTTTCAGTAGGTTGTTGATAAACATGAAAAAAATAAATGTGTCAGTAATACTCGTCGTGACACTCCAGCCAGTGACACCCACCAATTTGAATGCACGCCATTAATTTTAAATCATAAGCCTTGATCGTTTCGGTAGTTCCCTAAGTGAGAAAACAGTTGGCGTTAAAACCCGATTCGCTCTATCTCAGCAAGCACAACGATGCGCGGGACTTCATCTATTGGTTCGGTGAATTTTGGGAGTAATACATGTACAGACTTTCTGATAATAGCAGTCTGTTCGACTGCATCACTTTAACACAGTGTTAGTTGCACAGGACATGATTTTTTCTAAGCCATGCTGTACTTTGTGAAAGTGGTTGCCTTCTTTGATGAATCATCTCATCTAGTCGTGCATCAAATCCCCGAGAGTTACGACAGTGTCGAAAGCAGAGTTGCAAGTCTTATTCACTGTTTTCATTTGTTTGGTAATTCCCTGGAATCTGAGAGGACATCCACGTTGTTTACGGGATAATAAGTGTCTGTCGTTGTAATATGCCAACGCATCGATTCTCAGTTTGACAGTACTGGATGAAAGTTGTGCAGACATTGTACCAAAATAACTTGTTCTAACAAGATCAGTAGTTTGTAATGAAAGTGATCTAAGAATTGCAAAGAAAAAACATTTTGTTGAGCTTATTGGCTAGGGACTGCTGATGAGGCTCAGGTTAAGGACCGGCCACATTCCGGCATGAATACTTGTTTGTGTGTACACGGAATAGTAGGTCCCGTGTACCTATCCAAAAATTTCTTTCTAAAGAACGATTTACTCACACCGTGTCAGCGTGTGATACCGGGAAACTGTGATGATTATGAGTATTTGAATAATAGTACAAACTAAGAATCCCAGAAATTACGCAACTTAACCATGAAGTACTAGATGAGCACGAACGAAAGTATTGTAATTGGAGTCTGAAATCAGGCAGTCATCAAGTACAAAAGAATCATTGGTTCATAATAACACCACGAAAACTTAAACCAATAACACAACCCAACTCCTGGATACAATTACCTAGATACTTCGATAGAATTACAAAAACATTAGTGATTACATTTCAATCAGCGTATAGTCTCACCAACGATGTGAATTTTATATTATCCATCTCTTGTAGTGGCTGTGCTTCGTTATTTAATCACCCTCGAACCGTTATCGTACAATCTTCAACGATATTTGAAATCAGAAGGCAAATAGAAGCAGCTACTACAGTTTTATTTAGTAGATAATTCGGACCAGACAGCAGAGAGGCAAAATGAATGAGCAAGCGAACTACGATTGTAGCAGTAGTAAGTAGCTGTAGTTCATGCGTGCAAAATGTACAGGTATATATATGTATAGGAAAATAGGTGAGTCAGCGAATAGATTAAGCAGTTAATAATGAAGCTAGCAGAATGAATACATGCGTAGGCGCTAAACAATGTTCAAGCATATGCATTTCATACAAGCATAATAATAAAGATAGTACAACAAGTTGTTATATCATGGATGACTTTGTCCATTAAATAAGTTAACAAAAGGGCTTAACTGAGTTAAATGAGAATAAACCCATTTGCACGTGAGTCGCTATAATAGCTCTCCTCTACAAACAAAGATATATGGAAAATGTCTGTGTTTGCACACAAAAAATAGTAGACTGAATAGGGTAGTTACAATTGTTTGAAAAAAAGGCTTATACAAAATTAAGATGAAGTTAGAGTGTGTGCTGTACATTTGGTTTGCGCCCGTCCGTGAGGTTACATAAAATAATAGCAAGAATAGAAGGAATGCGGTATTGTCTTTACATTTTAAACAAAAATTATACGTATAAGTTTAAGGGTACATAAGATACGTTGAGTTTTATAGCGTATAACATGAGCCTAATAATGCATGTGTATACAATGAAGTAGAAGTTATAATTAACATTCCGAATAGTAGATTATTATTAATAGAAAATTGTAGCAACATAATGTTGGGGCCATCTTACTCTGCGGCCAGATCTTGTTGTTATCGGAGTCTCGTTTTTTTGTTGAGTTAACGTTGTTGATTTTTGGAACTGACGTTTCGATGATTCAACGGTTTTCGCAGTATCTGTATGTACTGGCTGATCGTAGGCTTCGATGAAAGCTGGTTTGACTCGGTCGATGCTAATTACGTCCGTTTTTCCAGCTTTGTCTACCGTAATAGTTTTGTCGTCTCTTTTAATCACCTTAAATGGACCATCGTAGGCCATTTGTAAGGGACGTTGCATATTATCCCTTCTGATAAACACATGTGTACTGTCACTTAGTTGTTTGGGTATGTACACACGGCGTTGATGTTGTCTCGGAAGCGTTATCCTTAGACTACTCATATGCTGCTTAAGACGCTGTACATAGTCGGCTATATCAGCTGGAACGCTTTTACCTGCGGTGAAAAACTCTCCTGGCAGACGTAGTGCGGTTCCATAAACCAATTCTGCTGGGCAGCATTCTATATCTTGTTTGATTGTTGATCTTAAGCTCAACATGACTAACGGTAGCTTGCTGGCCCAATCATTATTGCTGATGACAGCTGTAAGGGAGGCTTTAAGTTGCCGATGCAATCTCTCTACCATACCATTCGACATCGGGTGGTAGGATGTTGTGCGAATTCGTTTGATTCCGAGTAGTTCTGTGAGTTGTTGGAAGAGGCGGCTCTCGAATTGAGCTCCTCTATCGGTTGTAATATTAGTAGGTACGCCATAATGGGAGATCCAATGCTCTACTAGGGTTTTTGCGATAGTTTCGGCTGTAATATCTTTTATAGGAACAGCTACAGGCCATCGTGTGAATCTATCAATGCAAGTGAAAATGTAACTGAAGCCGTTGGAAACCGGCAGTGGTCCTATAATATCGATATGTATGTGCTCGAATCTGTTATCGGGATGGCGGAAATGACCTACTGCGGAACTGGTGTGGCGATGTATCTTAACTCTTTGGCATTTTACACACGCTTGCGTCCAATTACGAATATCCCGATTCATACTTGGTCATACAAAACGTTCGCTGATTAGTTTGATGGTGGCCTTTATTTCGGGATGTGAAATATTGTGCATGGCTTCGAAAATGTTTCGCCTTAGCGGTTTTGGAATAAATGGTCTTGGTTGACCTGTAGAAATATCGCAGGTGATGCTTACTTCTTCCAATGGAGTTTCTTTGAGAACTAACGAGGTTGTATTGGCAGACTTTAGTCTGTTTAACTCGACGTCGATATTTTGTAATGCTGCTAACTTGTGATAATCGATTTCGGACTGGACGAGAGCGTTGACCATCGTTCTGGATAGTGCGTCTGCCACTTCGTTGCTATTGCCTTTGATATACTGAATGTCAGACGTGAACTGTGAAATGAACTCTAATTGTCGGATCTCTCTCGGGGAATAATTGTCTTGCTTTGCGCTTAATGCTTTCGTTAGTGGTTTGTGGTCTGTATAGACGGTAAAATTTATGCCTTCGACCATATGACGGAAGTGTTTTATCGCTAAGTAGATTGCTAGGAGTTCTCTTCCGAAAGTACTATATCTTCTTTGTGTTGGATTCAGTCTTTTCGAAAAAAATGAGAGCGGTTCCCATGTGCCATTTACTAATTGTTGTAAAACGGCTCCTACCGCTACGTCTGAAGCATCCGTCATGATAGCCAACAGTGTGTCGCTCTTTCGTCTAGTTAGCGTCACTTCTTTATTTAGTGCTTTTTTAGCGTGCTCGAATGCTTGAATCGCTTCTGATGATAATTGGAATGTGCGTGCGTGTCCGCGTAACGCATCTGTTAATGGTTGCAATATTGACGCACAGTTTGGGATAAATCGTCTGTAATAGTTTATTAACCCGAGAAATCTGCGTAACTTTTTCCATGAATCGGGTAGGGGATAATTCTTAATGGCCTCGACTTCTTTTGCTATTGGTGTGATGCCTTGCGAAGTTATATTGTGACCTAGGAACTGTAAAGATTCTTTTCCAAATTCACACTTCTCAATATTTATAGAAATGCCGTGTTCCCTGAGTCGCATAAATAATTGCCGTAGTTGTTGTATATGCTCATCTTTAGTGGTGCTAGCTACTAATAAATCGTCGATATACGCGTATACCCCAGGTAAACCTCTAATGACCTGGTCTATAAACCGCTGAAAGGTTTGTGCCGCGTTAGTCAGTCCAAAAGGCATACGCAGGAATTCATATAGCCCAAATGGGGTTGTTACCGCTGTCTTTGGTATGT